TAACTGTTTTAGCAAAAGATAAAAAGACAAAATGGCGTGTATGGTATCTCAGGGTAGGTTACGTGATATATCCGATCCAGCGCGTAGTCAATATAAAGATTCAAAAAAGTTATTTTCCAAAACCTATCACGCAGCCCAAATTGGGTACGAGAAACAGGAACTAGAAAAACTCTATACATCGGAACAAACTGACCAACGGTTCTATTGGTACCTCGTTAATAAACATCGAAGAACATCAAAGAGATCTGTAAGTCCTATTTTGTCAGACGATGGCATACTTATAACAGACGCCGACGAGATAAGAAATCAATGGAAATGTCATTTTGAGAAACTTGCCACCCCACTTAATAAGCCAAATTTCGATTCTGAGTTTAAAACCACCATTGAGAACAAAATCAGAACAATTATTAAATGTAACGAGGATGACAAAATTGATGGTATGGCAGTAAGCATTAGCAATGAAGATGTCACCAGTGCAGTTAAAGCACTTCATTGTAAGCGTGCTTGTGGCTATGACCAAATCAGTGCTGAACATTTAAAATATGCCGGAAGCAAAATGTATGAATCCATTGCTCTCTTATTTAATTCAATTATTCAATCAGAGCACATCCCAAATAATTTCTGTGTAGGCGTAATGATCCCTCTCGCAAAAAGTGGCAAAGATCCCCTCATAAAAGATAATTCTAGAGGAATAACCCTCATGACAATGTTTCGTAAACTCTTTGACAATATATTATTAACTTACTTGAAAGTTCCGATCTACAAAATGATACCAAAGTTACAAGGGGCATCGGTTGAAAAATGTTCATCTGTTCACACTTCCTTATTGGTGCAGGAGACTATTTCAGATAATGTCGAACAGGGTAAAATGGTAGTCATTACAATAACAGACATTCGCAAAGCCTTCGACTCTGTTTGGATAGATGGTCTATTTTTTAAGCTCCACAAAAGTGGCGTTGTTGGAAAACTTTGGAACATATTGTACAATTTATATAAACACTATAGGTGCGCAGTTCTAGTAGGTGGTGCGCGCTCAAATTCATTTCCTATTCTCCAAGGTGTACATCAAGGTGGCGTGCTGTCAATGCTCTTCTATCAATTATACATGTCTGACATTATTGAAACCATGATTAAACTAAGTATTGGGTCCACCATAGGAGACACCAGCTGTGTCAGTCCATGCTACGCTGATGACATGTGTATCCTATCAAACTCATTTCAAAATATGCAAGTCCTATTGGACGCACTTACTAAACATAGCAATCAATGGAGATATGAAGTACATCCACAAAAGTGCACATATCTTGTTTTTAACAGTAAAATCGAATTGGGAGCCACTCAAAAGCTAAACATTGGAGGTGTACCGATCGAAAAATCTAATTATGCTAAACACGTTAGTATACCACTGTCTGTAGATAATGACATCAGTAATTATGTAAATGATAAATGCAAAAAAGGAAAATCTCAGTTTAATGCCCTTCTGGGAATTGGAAGTAAATGCGGAGGCCTTGTTCCCACTTCAGCATGTCAGATATACAAAACTTATTCCATACCCTGTATGACATACGGTGCTCCGGTAATCAATTATCATCAAAAAGATATTGAACAATTAAACATAGTACAGAGAGGCATTGGACGGAGGATTCAATCCCTTTCCCAATCTGCTAGCAATCCAGTCTCAACATTTCCTCTTGGGTTACTTGATATAGACTTTTACATAGATTTCCTCCGAATGATGTTTTTCTTTAGTATTTTACAACTCCATTGCTCAAATATTTACAAACACATATTCACGATACGGTTGATAAAATTGACGTATATGAAAACAAATTTTGATGTGTTTTCTCCTATCCGTAACATGCTCATATGTGCTATAAAATACAACTTGGATAAATACATTCTCGATATGCTATACTGTAAAACTCGAATCACCAAACAAAGGTGGAAGAAAATTGTTTTTACAGAACTTTCGACAGCACAAATACAGAGGACGTTTGTTAGATCAATTATGTATACTGGTCTTGAACTATTTAGGTTGAATGATTTTAGGTCTTTGAGTCCAAATATATGGTGGTGTGTTGCCAGAAAGTTCCCTGTTGCCCTCGGTGGTTGCAAAATTATGGTTAAACTTCTGACAAACGAACATACTCTAGGAACAAAATATCGAGGCGGAGAAAACAAGTCAAAATTATGTTATATGTGTAATACGTTTCAACAGGAAAATGTCATCCATTTTATGTTAACGTGCACAGCAAATAGCTATACCCCGTTTAGACGTAAACTAAATGAGCACTGCCAAAAGTTTGGTATAGAGATGAATATTAACAATATTTTAGGGATTAACTTTAGAAATGATCCCCGGTCTTTAGATTTTTTGAGAGGGGTTTCACTTATCGTGCAAGAGCAATACCACCTCCGTGCTTCGTGCTTGCAAGGCAACTCATAACTGACTTATATGATTTCGGATGCGTTTTAATGCAAACCATGGGTTGAAATCTGTTGATTAATGCGTCAAGTATTTTATATCTATCTATATATTTTATATACATAAGGTATAAACCATATGTACATACTTAATCTATATCTACTGTCAATTGTGATCTCTGAACAAATGATCTCTCAAATGGTTGTAATTGGACGATGAGGTAGCGGTAGCATCTTATATCGTCTGTGGTTCATTGGATGAGATGCTTACATCGACCTTGGGGAAGATGGTTTGCACTCAACTAATGCGATAAGTGTATTATATAATGTATAAAACGTATGTACATACTTAACCTTTTTTACTTTTTCAATTATGATCTCTGCACAAAATGATCTCATTAAGGGTTGTAATTGGACGATGAGGTAGCGGTAGCATCTTATATCGTCTGTGGTTCATTGGATGAGATGCTTACATCGACCTTGGGGAAGATGGTTTGCACTCAACTAATGAGATAAGTGTATTATATAATGTATAAAACGTATGTAAATACTTAACCTTTTTTACTTTTTCTATTATGATCTCTGCACAAAATGAGTATTATATAATGTATAAAATTGTATGTACATACTTAACCTTTCTTAACCTAACCTTTTTTTACTTTTTCAATTATGATCTCTGCATAAATGATCTCATTGAGGGTTGTAATTGGACGATGAGGTAGCGGTAGCATCTTATATCGTCTGTGGTTCATTAGATGAGATGCTTACATCGACCTTGGGGAAGATGGTTAGCACACATCTAACGTATAAAGTGTGTTTTATATATTGTATATATTTTTATTCTATGTTCATTTAACATTAATGTTATATCAGCATTATTTTCATTGTACACTGTATACATGTATCTCCTTTTCATAAAGGGCAATAAAGATATACATACATACACAATATACAGTAAAACCTAAGTTAGTGAACACATCTCTCTAGTGAACACCTATGAACAGTGAACTTTTTTTCGGCAAAACCTTTTTCTCCCATTGACTCTCATGTTAAAGTACAATCCTATAAATGAACACCTACCTACTGTGAACAGTGAACACTAAATCTTGGCAAAATCGATTGATTTATTCTGTCTCTAGTTCACATTGAATCAGACATTTCTCGCAGATTTTCTGCAACTGCCTTATTAGAGTTGAGCAGTCTATATTTATACATGTATAACCTGCCGAAAAAAATAATTAAAATGTCGATTTGAGATGTTCATCTCCCCTTGTGTTGAAACAGGTTTGACTTATTAATATAATTCTTGATAAGCTTTGTTTTGTAAGACATATTCGTCTAGCATCGATCGTAATTGCTTTGGAGATAATCTGGTTAACTATTATCAATCTGCTTAGTCCAAACTTCATATTTTTCTCATCCTTATCAATAGATTAAAATCAAAATGATCACCTTTAATTGACTCTATCATGTCCTTTACATTAAATCGTTTAACTGAGTCAATTATTCCACTCTGAGATTGTCCCTTGATCCGAACCAATACATTTAATGTTTGGATCATCCCAATGAGAATTACAAAGAGTCTCAAATTTAACAATAAAAGGATGATTTAAATGACAGTCAGTCTAAAATAAGTCAGTTTATACATATAACACTTTAACAAAACAAAAACTTTTCGCTAGAGTGTCATGGGTTATCTTGAAAATACATTAAATTGATTATCCTTCCTCCCTTTAGCCTGGTCTCTAAATGTAAAACGGCAAAATGCCGCGAAATCAAATTCTTGCTTTAATGAACACTTACTAACAGTGAACATTTTTTCACGGCAAAAAATGTTCACGTTACATAGGTTTTAGTGTACATGCAACAAGTACATTATTCTATCGCATGATCTGCAAAATGAAGCCCTCTGATCAGTTCTTGTGCTGTAACAATCTTTATTGCTACTGAGATTGTCCCCGTTGATCAGCTCCGTAGCAATATTGGTACGGAGGGGACGATCTCAGTAGCAATACAGAGGATCACACGATAAAAACGTTATTGAATGATTTGAAGTGCAATACAGGATATATTCTGTCTCGATATTCTGTATTGGCACTCGACTTCGTCTCGAGCAGAATATATCCTGTATTGCACTTCAAATCATTCAATAACTTATAGTATTGCTACTGAGATTGTCCCCTCACCTTGTATTGGTACGGGATTGATCATCTTTGTAGCTATACAGAATATATTGGTACGGATCAGGGGACAATCTCAGAGCAATTTAGAATATTTCCTATGGATTATCTCCTAAGTAAAATGTATTGGCCTCATAAGATCACACGATAAAAAAGTTATAAAATAATTTGAAGGTCTCGTGCTAATACAGAATTTCTCGAACGCAATATATATTGTATTGCACTTCAAATCATTCAATAACTTATGATATTTTTACTTTCGTTTTCATTGTTGTCTTGATGCGAATGGTTTGATACTCTGCCAAGTCTTAAGTTTTTAACACAGAGATTACGTATCCTTCCGCAATCGAAAGAACTACAACACATGCCAAAATATTTGATATCAATAGGCAAATGCTGTAATTCTTCGATTGCGGAAGGATATGCCAATGCAACATCTGGGTCAATCACTTGAGACTTTGGCAGAATGTCAAACCATTCGTATAAAGACAACATCAAAAGGAAAGTAAAAAGATAACGAAACAAACCGTTTGGCATGTGTTTATGTCTTTATGGCTACGAAAATATGTTAGTCTTTAATATCCAAAGACACGCTGTAGATGTCGACTCATTGTTCCTAAATATCTACCGAATACGCAGCTTTGGAAGAACACGCGGTCCGAGAACACTCACTTTTGGAGTGGAGATTTTCCGGTCAATGTACGTATGCCCTTCAACCTCGCCTCGAAGTTACCAACAACAACGGTGTCATGTATTATTAACATGAGTAGCATGGACATATGTGGTTAGAATACAGTTTATACTGCAAAGGCACCAAAATAACACATTAACTTGTCCAGCACAATTGCTTTCTCTTTGTTCATATTCAGATCAACGTCAATTGCTAGTCGGATGGTGGATCCTTTTTGTAAATACACAACGCCACCTATATAGTTCGTATTCACATTTTGGACTTTTTTTCTAGTCTCGGGATGTCCCGGCGCTGATCGGGAACACATCACTTTCCGATCGCCGCATGTAGTCTCCGAACACGGCGTGTATTTATCAGCTACGTGCAAACAATGGGCCATCTCATGATCTTCTCCATGGAAGAAAACTTGTCCATATATGAAATACTGCCCGGTTCTTTTCACCTCGATGTATGCCACATTGTAGGACGAGTGGTCTTTTGGAGAGTCGATTATTAGACCCATTTTTGTACTTGTGATTGATTCTACGACCCATTTACCGTTGATGTTTCCTGACAAAAATAAATGTTATTAGTTTTTATAGTAGACAGTGGTAGACAGACTATTTGTTAGCCTTGAGCTTATATTAGCTCATATACAGTGCGTATCAAAAAACGCAACAGATTGCTATCTCGGAAAAGCACAAAACCAGTGATAACAGCATTGATTTCATTCAATGCACCATAAAGCCATGTGTTTCCTCTTTACAATGATATATCATTCATTGATATTTGGTCATGGTTGGGCGAGTAATCATTCCATTTGCCAAGTACATGAAGTAGGCCAAAATTAGCTTTTGACCAAGTTATAAACATCGCAAGTCAGGGTACGGAGCCCGATGCAAAATTGGAAGAAAACATAAAACCAATGCTGACTGTATCCTTTCCATTCAATGTACCAAAAAGCCAAATTACTCCTCTTTGCAATGGAATATCATTCATTCACAGAGAGTCATGGCTGGCCGAATAATCATTAATTTTGCAAAGTGGGGCAAAATTCAGCTCGGACCCAAGTTTTAAACATTGCAAAAGAAGAAGGTGTAACAGGTGTAGCATAGACAGTGAGTTAAGTGTTCATACTCATACTCTTGCAAGAATACATCCTATACCCATCGAAATTGCCACCACTTCCTTGCACATAAAGATGCGCTCATCTGTCCACGTCATGCATGGTTCAGCGCTGAATCACCTGTGAGTTAAAGTAGAGAAAAGCAGTCCATGGGCAATTCTTTCTCGAGGTTTTGCAATATCTGGTTGAGGAATTGTGAGCACAGTTGCTCCTGAGATAGCTCCAAAAGAAAAAGTCACAACAATTAAAGTCAGGGGAACTTCCATTGGCACTTAGCCCTTGCACTGATTTTTGCAATATCTAAAACTTGGCCCAGAGTCGATTTTGACCCACTGTGCAAATGGAAGGATTTCTCACCAAACCATTACCACATGTGAATGAATGATATATCATTGCAAAGAGGAGAGACGGCTTTATGGTACATCAAATGAAATTCATGTAGTCATCACTAGTTTTGGAATTTTACGAGGTAACTACTTGTTGCGTTTTTTATACGCCCTGTATAGTAGAGTGGCAAATAGTACTACCTATTCTAGTGGTCCAGCAAATCTCTGGGCTGTGTCTTTAAAACACGGGAGATACAGGAGATATTTCACGCAATGACAGTTGATAGTTGACAGTCGAGCATAGCTTACAGGTGATTCGATTACTATATAGCCTTTTTGCCACAGTGTTAATGTTCATTCATTTTGAACAAGGCATTAACATATTATCAAAGACTTCACTCGATTCATCAGCTTTTCCCATCATTAAATATTGAATATCCAAAACCGGTGGTGTGCACCAGGGCTCCATTTTAGGGACCCGTTTTTTCATTGATGGGTCACTATGTTCACTTCAAAATTGTGACTTGGTCAACGTATTAGACAACTAAAATTCCTGCTGCATAGAATCGTTTGTGTTTTTGAAGTTGTGTGTTTGGTACGACCTCAATCAATTTATGCACATTATGGCATTTCAAAAAATATACTGAATTGTTTTTCAAAGTCGATAATCAAAGCAACGGAACCTTATTTTCGCAAGTATTAAGCAAATATTCCATTCAATGGAGGGCAATACCTGTTCATCTTTCAATGATTTTTGCAGTATGTTTTGCCCGCAGCCCGTAGAGCGAGTTACAAGGGGCATCGGTTGAAAAATGTTCATCTGTTCACACTTCCTTATTGGTGCAGGAGACTATTTCAGATAATGTCGAACAGGGTAAAATGGTAGTCATTACAATAACAGACATTCGCAAAGCCTTCGACTCTGTTTGGATAGATGGTCTATTTTTTAAGCTCCACAAAAGTGGCGTTGTTGGAAAACTTTGGAACATATTGTACAATTTATATAAACACTATAGGTGCGCAGTTCTAGTAGGTGGTGCGCGCTCAAATTCATTTCCTATTCTCCAAGGTGTACATCAAGGTGGCGTGCTGTCAATGCTCTTCTATCAATTATACATGTCTGACATTATTGAAACCATGATTAAACTAAGTATTGGGTCCACCATAGGAGACACCAGCTGTGTCAGTCCATGCTACGCTGATGACATGTGTATCCTATCAAACTCATTTCAAAATATGCAAGTCCTATTGGACGCACTTACTAAACATAGCAATCAATGGAGATATGAAGTACATCCACAAAAGTGCACATATCTTGTTTTTAACAGTAAAATCGAATTGGGAGCCACTCAAAAGCTAAACATTGGAGGTGTACCGATCGAAAAATCTAATTATGCTAAACACGTTGGTATACCACTGTCTGTAGATAATGACATCAGTAATTATGTAAATGATAAATGCAAAAAAGGAAAATCTCAGTTTAATGCCCTTCTGGGAATTGGAAGTAAATGCGGAGGCCTTGTTCCCACTTCAGCATGTCAGATATACAAAACTTATTCCATACCCTGTATGACATACGGTGCTCCGGTAATCAATTATCATCAAAAAGATATTGAACAATTAAACATAGTACAGAGAGGCATTGGACGGAGGATTCAATCCCTTTCCCAATCTGCTAGCAATCCAGTCTCAACATTTCCTCTTGGGTTACTTGATATAGACTTTTACATAGATTTCCTCCGAATGATGTTTTTCTTTAGTATTTTACAACTCCATTGCTCAAATATTTACAAACACATATTCACGATACGGTTGATAAAATTGACGTATATGAAAACAAATTTTGATGTGTTTTCTCCTATCCGTAACATGCTCATATGTGCTATAAAATACAACTTGGATAAATACATTCTCGATATGCTATACTGTAAAACTCGAATCACCAAACAAAGGTGGAAGAAAATTGTTTTTACAGAACTTTCGACAGCACAAATACAGAGGACGTTTGTTAGATCAATTATGTATACTGGTCTTGAACTATTTAGGTTGAATGATTTTAGGTCTTTGAGTCCAAATATATGGTGGTGTGTTGCCAGAAAGTTCCCTGTTGCCCTCGGTGGTTGCAAAATTATGGTTAAACTTCTGACAAACGAACATACTCTAGGAACAAAATATCGAGGCGGAGAAAACAAGTCAAAATTATGTTATATGTGTAATACGTTTCAACAGGAAAATGTCATCCATTTTATGTTAACGTGCACAGCAAATAGCTATACCCCGTTTAGACGTAAACTAAATGAGCACTGCCAAAAGTTTGGTATAGAGATGAATATTAACAATATTTTAGGGATTAACTTTAGAAATGATCCCCGGTCTTTAGATTTTTTGAGAGGGGTTTCACTTATCGTGCAAGAGCAATACCACCTCCGTGCTTCGTGCTTGCAAGGCAACTCATAACTGACTTATATGATTTCGGATGCGTTTTAATGCAAACCATGGGTTGAAATCTGTTTATTAATGCGTCAAGTATTTTATATCTATCTATATATTTTATATACATAAGGTATAAACCATATGTACATACTTAATCTATATCTACTGTCAATTGTGATCTCTGAACAAATGATCTCTCAAATGGTTGTAATTGGACGATGAGGTAGCGGTAGCATCTTATATCGTCTGTGGTTCATTGGATGAGATGCTTACATCGACCTTGGGGAAGATGGTTTGCACTCAACTAATGCGATAAGTGTATTATATAATGTATAAAACGTATGTACATACTTAACCTTTTTTACTTTTTCAATTATGATCTCTGCACAAAATGATCTCATTAAGGGTTGTAATTGGACGATGAGGTAGCGGTAGCATCTTATATCGTCTGTGGTTCATTGGATGAGATGCTTACATCGACCTTGGGGAAGATGGTTTGCACTCAACTAATGAGATAAGTGTATTATATAATGTATAAAACGTATGTAAATACTTAACCTTTTTTACTTTTTCTATTATGATCTCTGCACAAAATGAGTATTATATAATGTATAAAATTGTATGTACATACTTAACCTTTCTTAACCTAACCTTTTTTTACTTTTTCAATTATGATCTCTGCATAAATGATCTCATTGAGGGTTGTAATTGGACGATGAGGTAGCGGTAGCATCTTATATCGTCTGTGGTTCATTAGATGAGATGCTTACATCGACCTTGGGGAAGATGGTTAGCACACATCTAACGTATAAAGTGTGTTTTATATATTGTATATATTTTTATTCTATGTTCATTTAACATTAATGTTATATCAGCATTATTTTCATTGTACACTGTATACATGTATCTCCTTTTCATAAAGGGCAATAAAGATATACATACATACACAATATACAGTAAAACCTAAGTTAGTGAACACATCTCTCTAGTGAACACCTATGAACAGTGAACTTTTTTTCGGCAAAACCTTTTTCTCCCATTGACTCTCATGTTAAAGTACAATCCTATAAATGAACACCTACCTACTGTGAACAGTGAACACTAAATCTTGGCAAAATCGATTGATTTATTCTGTCTCTAGTTCACATTGAATCAGACATTTCTCGCAGATTTTCTGCAACTGCCTTATTAGAGTTGAGCAGTCTATATTTATACATGTATAACCTGCCGAAAAAAATAATTAAAATGTCGATTTGAGATGTTCATCTCCCCTTGTGTTGAAACAGGTTTGACTTATTAATATAATTCTTGATAAGCTTTGTTTTGTAAGACATATTCGTCTAGCATCGATCGTAATTGCTTTGGAGATAATCTGGTTAACTATTATCAATCTGCTTAGTCCAAACTTCATATTTTTCTCATCCTTATCAATAGATTAAAATCAAAATGATCACCTTTAATTGACTCTATCATGTCCTTTACATTAAATCGTTTAACTGAGTCAATTATTCCACTCTGAGATTGTCCCTTGATCCGAACCAATACATTTAATGTTTGGATCATCCCAATGAGAATTACAAAGAGTCTCAAATTTAACAATAAAAGGATGATTTAAATGACAGTCAGTCTAAAATAAGTCAGTTTATACATATAACACTTTAACAAAACAAAAACTTTTCGCTAGAGTGTCATGGGTTATCTTGAAAATACATTAAATTGATTATCCTTCCTCCCTTTAGCCTGGTCTCTAAATGTAAAACGGCAAAATGCCGCGAAATCAAATTCTTGCTTTAATGAACACTTACTAACAGTGAACATTTTTTCACGGCAAAAAATGTTCACGTTACATAGGTTTTAGTGTACATGCAACAAGTACATTATTCTATCGCATGATCTGCAAAATGAAGCCCTCTGATCAGTTCTTGTGCTGTAACAATCTTTATTGCTACTGAGATTGTCCCCGTTGATCAGCTCCGTAGCAATATTGGTACGGAGGGGACGATCTCAGTAGCAATACAGAGGATCACACGATAAAAACGTTATTGAATGATTTGAAGTGCAATACAGGATATATTCTGTCTCGATATTCTGTATTGGCACTCGACTTCGTCTCGAGCAGAATATATCCTGTATTGCACTTCAAATCATTCAATAACTTATAGTATTGCTACTGAGATTGTCCCCTCACCTTGTATTGGTACGGGATTGATCATCTTTGTAGCTATACAGAATATATTGGTACGGATCAGGGGACAATCTCAGAGCAATTTAGAATATTTCCTATGGATTATCTCCTAAGTAAAATGTATTGGCCTCATAAGATCACACGATAAAAAAGTTATAAAATAATTTGAAGGTCTCGTGCTAATACAGAATTTCTCGAACGCAATATATATTGTATTGCACTTCAAATCATTCAATAACTTATGATATTTTTACTTTCGTTTTCATTGTTGTCTTGATGCGAATGGTTTGATACTCTGCCAAGTCTTAAGTTTTTAACACAGAGATTACGTATCCTTCCGCAATCGAAAGAACTACAACACATGCCAAAATATTTGATATCAATAGGCAAATGCTGTAATTCTTCGATTGCGGAAGGATATGCCAATGCAACATCTGGGTCAATCACTTGAGACTTTGGCAGAATGTCAAACCATTCGTATAAAGACAACATCAAAAGGAAAGTAAAAAGATAACGAAACAAACCTTTTGGAATGTGTTTATGTCTTTATGGCTACGAAAATATGTTAGTCTTTAATATCCAAAGACACGCTGTAGATGTCGACTCATTGTTCCTAAATATCTACCGAATACGCAGCTTTGGAAGAACACGCGGTCCGAGAACACTCACTTTTGGAGTGGAGATTTTCCGGTCAATGTACGTATGCCCTTCAACCTCGCCTCGAAGTTACCAACAACAACGGTGTCATGTATTATTAACATGAGTAGCATGGACATATGTGGTTAGAATACAGTTTATACTGCAAAGGCACCAAAATAACACATTAACTTGTCCAGCACAATTGCTTTCTCTTTGTTCATATTCAGATCAACGTCAATTGCTAGTCGGATGGTGGATCCTTTTTGTAAATACACAACGCCACCTATATAGTTCGTATTCACATTTTGGACTTTTTTTCTAGTCTCGGGATGTCCCGGCGCTGATCGGGAACACATCACTTTCCGATCGCCGCATGTAGTCTCCGAACACGGCGTGTATTTATCAGCTACGTGCAAACAATGGGCCATCTCATGATCTTCTCCATGGAAGAAAACTTGTCCATATATGAAATACTGCCCGGTTCTTTTCACCTCGATGTATGCCACATTGTAGGACGAGTGGTCTTTTGGAGAGTCGATTATTAGACCCATTTTTGTACTTGTGATTGATTCTACGACCCATTTACCGTTGATGTTTCCTGACAAAAATAAATGTTATTAGTTTTTATAGTAGACAGTGGTAGACAGACTATTTGTTAGCCTTGAGCTTATATTAGCTCATATACAGTGCGTATCAAAAAACGCAACAGATTGCTATCTCGGAAAAGCACAAAACCAGTGATAACAGCATTGATTTCATTCAATGCACCATAAAGCCATGTGTTTCCTCTTTACAATGATATATCATTCATTGATATTTGGTCATGGTTGGGCGAGTAATCATTCCATTTGCCAAGTACATGAAGTAGGCCAAAATTAGCTTTTGACCAAGTTATAAACATCGCAAGTCAGGGTACGGAGCCCGATGCAAAATTGGAAGAAAACATAAAAACCAATGCTGACTGTATCCTTTCCATTCAATGTACCAAAAAGCCAAATTACTCCTCTTTGCAATGGAATATCATTCATTCACAGAGAGTCATGGCTGGCCGAATAATCATTAATTTTGCAAAGTGGGGCAAAATTCAGCTCGGACCCAAGTTTTAAACATTGCAAAAGAAGAAGGTGTAACAGGTGTAGCATAGACAGTGAGTTAAGTGTTCATACTCATACTCTTGCAAGAATACATCCTATACCCATCGAAATTGCCACCACTTCCTTGCACATAAAGATGCGCTCATCTGTCCACGTCATGCATGGTTCAGCGCTGAATCACCTGTGAGTTAAAGTAGAGAAAAGCAGTCCATGGGCAATTCTTTCTCGAGGTTTTGCAATATCTGGTTGAGGAATTGTGAGCACAGTTGCTCCTGAGATAGCTCCAAAAGAAAAAGTCACAACAATTAAAGTCAGGGGAACTTCCATTGGCACTTAGCCCTTGCACTGATTTTTGCAATATCTAAAACTTGGCCCAGAGTCGATTTTGACCCACTGTGCAAATGGAAGGATTTCTCACCAAACCATTACCACATGTGAATGAATGATATATCATTGCAAAGAGGAGAGACGGCTTTATGGTACATCAAATGAAATTCATGTAGTCATCACTAGTTTTGGAATTTTACGAGGTAACTACTTGTTGCGTTTTTTATACGCCCTGTATAGTAGAGTGGCAAATAGTACTACCTATTCTAGTGGTCCAGCAAATCTCTGGGCTGTGTCTTTAAAACACGGGAGATACAGGAGATATTTCACGCAATGACAGTTGATAGTTGACAGTCGAGCATAGCTTACAGGTGATTCGATTACTATATAGCCTTTTTGCCACAGTGTTAATGTTCATTCATTTTGAACAAGGCATTAACATATTATCAAAGACTTCACTCGATTCATCAGCTTTTCCCATCATTAAATATTGAATATCCAAAACCGGTGGTGTGCACCAGGGCTCCATTTTAGGGACCCGTTTTTTCATTGATGGGTCACTATGTTCACTTCAAAATTGTGACTTGGTCAACGTATTAGACAACTAAAATTCCTGCTGCATAGAATCGTTTGTGTTTTTGAAGTTGTGTGTTTGGTACGACCTCAATCAATTTATGCACATTATGGCATTTCAAAAAATATACTGAATTGTTTTTCAAAGTCGATAATCAAAGCAACGGAACCTTATTTTCGCAAGTATTAAGCAAATATTCCATTCAATGGAGGGCAATACCTGTTCATCTTTCAATGATTTTTGCAGTATGTTTTGCCCGCAGCCCGTAGAGCGAGGGAAATAAATGCTGCAAAAATCATTGAAAGATGAACAGGTATTGCCCTCCATTGAATGGAATATTTGCTTAATACTTGCGAAAATAAGGTTCCATTGCTTTGCTTATCGACTTTGAAAAACAATTCAGTATATTTTTTGAAATGCCATAATGTGCATAAATTGATTGAGGTCGTATTGCCCGAACACCGAATGAAATATTTGTTTTATTATGTCATTGCTAGAAATATAGAACATTTATTTTAATCAATATATATATATATGTATTTCATAAACCAATAAGCTAAAATAATTACGTACACCGGTATTATTATAAAGTACTTTTATTTTCGTTCAGTGCAGTTTTCAGAATTTCCGGGCGGGCACTACGATGATCTAATAATTCAGTGAGCTGTGAAATACGCTATGGTATTTTTGATGACATGATACTGAATCAGCCAATCAAATCAAGGGATCTCTAGCAATGATATAATAATAGGCGTTTTATGCTATTTCTTCAAGACAGGTAAGGGAATATGGAGTATTGTATCTAAAATGAGGATAAATGAGCAACAATCTACAAATCTTACCATGTTTATCAAAAGACACCAGAAGTGGGTATTCGGATTGAGTGTCAGGTATAACATGAATTGATGCTCTCTGAAAAACATAAAAAACTGAGTTTACGTAAAAGAATACTAAAAAACAAATACCACATTTTAACCGTTTCATTGTATTTAATTTGTTGGCAAGTGAGCCATTGTTTTATAATCTTAGATAATGGTTTAAAACGTACCCTTCCTTTCTTTTTGCGCTTTACTGAACGTGGCCTCTGCGAGGTACTCCTCGGTCTTATTCCTTTCGTATTAATGTCATTTGTTTCAGATTCGGATGTTATTCGTTGGAATGTCGTGGTCTCAAACAAGCGTTCTAGAGTTGACCTCGTCAGAATTCCATTCGGGTAAATACCGGGACTCCCCTCATGTTCGGTTCTATATTTGTTTGCATTTACTGGCGGTACTTTGTATTTAATGTCCCGCTCAGTTGTGGGATTCCCCTCGACTGTTGATTGTTTTTGTTCATCATGCGCGTCTACTTCATTGTCTTCTGTATGGCTCCAAAAGCCACTCGTTAAACAACTATGTACCGAACCGAAGATAAGAATTGTCAAAGTAAAACTGACCATCAAATTCATTTTTAATAATATCTACTTTCGTTTTCTCTCTTTTGTTTTTATATCGACACACGCACACCAAACACCGACTTTACCAAGGCACAGGTAGATCTCTTATTTTCCTATCAAAATATCAAATAATTGTTTCACCTAAATTGGTTAATTCTTATCCTTTGCAAAGACGTGCTCTATTCAAGAAATTATCTCTATATGCTTATAAAAGGAAAATCTAGGGGTAAGTTCGACGAAATGGTTGCATTTAAAATGCACTTAACCTTGCGCTGCACCAAACTTAACCTTGGCACTTAGCCCCAATCTTATCAAAATAATATATACTTGAAGACAACAAGACTAGGGACATTTTAAAAGTTTTGACACGGTTTTGATTTATCCCCCAATAACATAATTAGTCGATGGCAATAAAAAAATATTTAAGTGCGTAGCATATCAGCCAATAGGGAGTTTAAGATTAGCGTAAATAACCCATTTACCTATACCTATACGTAGTTTGTTATTACACTAAGCGGTATTTTACCAAAGTTACAGGGTTTACGATACGTAATTACCTATAAATGGCCGAAGATAGGTAATTCGAAAACGTATGTTTTTATCCAACAAATTATGTCATTTCTAGATCAAATATTATCCATTAAACTTGAAAATAGTAACAACAAACATTTCTCATTCGATCTACATAGAAATTAAGTGGTCGAACACATTCATTGATGCGATAAACGATGCCATGTGATGATGCATGAAATTGTTGGATTTACACATTCTTCATTAGTTTTGTTTATTCGAAATGTATGAAATCAGCCATTTTCTCGTGGTTTTAATTGTTTAAATTTACTATTTGGTCACTCTCATTGCTGGATCATGCTAGAAATTTAACATTTCGCCTTAAGTCACTGACCCATTGGCGGACCAATCAACAAGCAACAACCTCTCCCAACTACAGTAGCTACACCACGCTCTCTCCGAAGTATATAACAGTTCTTGGAGGTGACATGTACTGGTATATGCCATATAAGCCATCGCATGGTTTTCATTCTATAATTAGGATGTTAATTTTATCATAAATTGTAGCATACGGTTTCGTAGCCTTTTACGTTAATCTTAAACTCATTTTGCAATACCCATTACCTATACGTATCCGTAACAAACATACGGATAGGGATAGGTACACGTATATTTTTACGCTAATCTTAACCTCCCTATTGTATAACGATAGGTAGTATATTCGATCGTGAAATAGAAAATGACCAAGAAGTCTTAATTCCCCGGCTTAATTCCAAGTGATATGGAGATATTTTGAATGTTTTTGTTCTGTTTTTACTTTTTTGAAACGACGCTTTGTATGTTTTATTATGGGATATAACTATATTTAGCAAACAAGTTAAAGTGACATTTCTTTGTTATGGCACCTGGATCCATCTCAGTTAAAATACAACCTTTGATAACAAAATTAAACATTGAAAATAGTCCCAATGTGTAAACATTTTGATTTGGCGGATGACAGTTACAAGTGAGAAGCTAGCTATTCCTGAAATTCAATAGAAGTACCGGGAATCCCCTCATGTTTGATTCTTTGTTTGTTTGCATCTGTTGGCGGTACCTGGCATTCAAATCGATGTTCGTTTGTTATCACACAACAGACCTTTAAAAATGTATAATCGTTAATCAGCCTTATATATGCGGCTGATATCGTTTATCAACCGCATCAAGGGTGAACATAATTGAGATATTTTGAATCTTTCTTGAACTTGAACTGTAACCCCAGTTCTTATCAAGATACTTGAAAACATCGTTGAATAACAACCTATAATTCAAGGGCATAATTGTAGTGGAAGTGCTTTATTCTTAAAAAAGAGAATTAAAATTTAAATATAGCTGTTCAAATATTTTGACACGTGGTGTACTTGAGTACATAAATGGCATCAAGTCAGACTGATCAAGCAAAAGTAAACAAGCTTAGCGTACAAAAACGCCTCGGATATATTGAGCGGGCTAGTTTTATATTTAACAAAATAATAACAAACAGGCATTCAAAACGAAAGCATATATTTTATCCAATACAACGTGAAAAAGTATGCACATTGATTATACTGTAGGATAAAAACATGTGGATAAAAACAGAATTGTGGCTTGTTATTGTTATGGTCACGATGACCCCGAAACTAAGGGAACACAAACAGAACTGGATCCTCTCCGTTACTATGACACTTAGGTTTATGGTGAGTAGAAAATCCCTATCATCAACGATGAAGCATAAAGTGCACATACAGTTTCTCAAATAACCTCTTAATATTATCCAAGATACAGATTTTAAACTAATATAGTTCTCATCATGCATTAACTGTATCCGTAGTTTTTTTATTAAAATGAGGTCAGTGGCTTAGAATTGCAACACACCTTACAAGATATGATTCAAATTAAGATTATAATGATGAAGGCAAACTTGAACTTGCACAGTAATTATGGATTGTTTATTATATGATTTTTGAAATAAAGTGTAACTGTATATAGTTGACATTGTTCTTCAAATCTTTTATAAAATAATTGTACCTGAAAAGGCTCAACTTTCAAGATTCGGTTAAATGCAGAATTAGATATACCGAATGTGCTGAGTCTATTTTCTAAAAATCCCCGTGCATACTTAATTTCCTAAGATTAACGATTTTTGCCACAATGTACTACTATTTGCTATAAATATGGTTTCTATCTTAATTGTTTGGGAGTATTTAAACATTTCTTCCATTTTTGCGCTTTGAATCTTTTTTATGATTTCACCAATCATATTGCAAATCTTTTGGGATAGATCATATCTGAGATCGTAGCGAATAGATTGGTTGGTACATGTTGCTCGCAATTATAGAATTATGTCACCCTGGACATAGCACACAAGCCCAACTTTTGACTATAGAACACTTCCTTCAGAATAATTTTGAAGAAGGAAAGGCATCAAAAGGAATATTTCTTGATATTGCATCAGCATTTGACAAAGTCCCTCATCACTTACTCATATTGAAACTCAAATCTTATGGTATAAGGGGACAGTTACTAAATGTCATAAAATCCTATCTCTCTGACAGAAAAATGTATGTAAATTTAGCTGGTGCTTCGTCTTCTATGTCGGAGGCCAATTTTATCAATTGCGGTGTTCCACAAGGATCAATTTTGGGACCTCTATTTTTTTTACTGTACATAAATGATCTCCCAGATAAAATTGACACAGAGTGCTATATTTACGCAGATGATACTTCACTGCAGTTCTCTTTTGACCCCAAAAATCCGAATGAGATTGATCAATCTGTTGCAAGTAACCTGGAAGCAATTCAAAATTGGTCCAAATTATGGAAGCTCGAGTTTAAACCTGAGAAGAGCTGCGAAGTCATTTTCCATACTCCAAGAATGCCAATCGAAAACGTGACCACATCATTTCTCAATAACTCTGAAATCAAAAGAATTGCAACCCATAAACATCTTGGTTACTGTTTTGATGAATGCCTCTCAAATATAAATCATATTGATGAGATTTGTACAAAGGTAAAAAAAATGTTAAATCCTCTAAAAAAACTCCAAGGTAAACTGACAGCCAAACATTTGGAGACAATCTTTACCTCATTCATCCGTCCATATTTTGACTATGGTGTTGTATTATACAACAAATCTTCCAAATATTTACTTGAACGGTTGAATAAGCTGTATTACCAAGCAGCCATCTTGTGTTCAGGCTGTTACCATGGTAGTAATACCACTAAAGTGCTCACTTTACTACAATGGCATACATTAGAGGACAGAAGGAAGATGCAAGTTAATAATTTCATGTACAAGGTTGTCAATGGAACAAATCCCGTATATCTAAATGAGATCTTTGAGAAGTACAAAAATAAAAGCATTAGAACTAATCGTAACACTTTTGACTTCAAGCTACCTATCCGCTGTAGCAACAGATTTTTGGAGTCGGCAGTCCTAGGTGCAATCAGTTCATGGTCAATGCTGCCATCATATATCAGGGAAAAGAAGACACTTCAGACTTTCAAAAAATATCAAAAAACTTATTTTGCTCCCAAAAAACTCACTCTACCATCTACCTTTCTTAATTTGACAAGAAAACAAGAAATAATCATAAACAGACTTAGAGCTGATTTACTTTTTAGGGCTCAACTATACGCCCATAACTTTACCTTTATTGATGGCCCAAATTGCTCATGTGGAGCTACCAGTACGCCAAAGCACTTTTTTCTGAAATGTCCAAATAATGAATTGAATTTTCAAACATTAAAAAATGACATTGAATTGATTGCACCAGGAGCCTTTAATAAACATAAAAATCAAGCTGATTTACTTTCTTTATTCTATTATGGAGATCCTGATCTACCTTTAGAAACAAATTCGCAACTCTTGTCCAAAGTGGCTGATTTTATTTCTGCCAATATCTGAATTCCCTCCTCAAGTGAACCTGTTTAGTCTTCCCTCCAAACACCCCTCCCCTATCCCCACCCTACAAGTGCATCCCCTTTAACCTGTTGTATAGTGTACTATTATGATTTATTATATGTATTAATATATATTGTTTAAATGTCCATTTTTCCTATAATGCCTTCGGGCGATTGGAATTATGTATTTGCTTATAAGTTTGAATGAATAAATTCTTATAAAAAAAAAAAAAAAACCCCAATAGATCTGATTCTGCCTTTAATTTCATGGAGGGCAGGCCCGTAGCCAGGATTTGCCAAGGGGGGGTTCAATTTTCAAAAAATTCCAGGGGGGGGTTCACATTTGACAATTTTGGCCCAAATTAGGCTAAAATCACTAGAGAAGTGCTCAAAATGGTCAAAAACTGCATGATTTTGAAAGAATTTTTGGCCAGGGGGGGGGGGTTCGCCCGAACCCTGCGAACCCCCCCCTGGCTACGGGCCTGGAGGGAGTAGCCTATTGCTTTTTCAGGTCACTTTTACAAACATACGGAACATCAAACTCAAACTAGGTTTGATTTGAAGGAATATTATTTCATATATGTGCAAATTTAGGCATGCATAGAGTGTGCACCTTCTTCACAAGGCAGAGCATGTCATGAACTGAAAGAATATAAGATGAAATACCCGGATGGCACAAGTAACTGCGTTCCTTGCTCAAAGTGTCAAAAAGGACAATGTGTTGCCAGCCATTGTTTTGAATACACAGACACTACATGCCGAACGCCCCGTCAGAATGAATACATTGAAGGACATGTCTGCACGGTTTGCAGTGATTGTGGAAATAATAGGATCGTACTTCGAAACTGCACAAAACATGCTGATACAGATTGCGGGGACTGCGAATCAGGTACATAGTTTACGATTTTGAATTATGTCAAAAATCCTTATTCAAAAGTGCACTGACAATAATGTTTTTGATAAGCTCTTGAAAATCATACATTTTAAAGTCATGAATATAAAGATACTATATCACGGATCTGGTAAATGACCATCCTCCAAACGCAGGGGTTCAGGCATCATCCACCGTTTTCCCTCCTGGATGATGTATGGATGAACAATGACTATTTTTAATTTGTGTCTAGGCTATACATGGGACCCAATGATTGAAGATTGCGTGTTATCAAACAACGCGATCGTATCTTCATTGCCAAGAGCATCCATTGCATTCATAGCAGAACCATCTGGGTATTTCACAACGCTAAAACCAGAGCAAAGGGTAACTCCTCAGGAAGGAATACCTGGTAAGCCATTCGATGAATCTTAGATTCATAGGTTGCCATATAGCAAACAGACACACAACATCCCAAACTTAACCGCACGAAGAAACAATGTACATGTATATCACTTCAAACCATTCAGGAATGAATACGTTCATGTGTCAAAAGAGAGAAGAGCAAAGACCATTTCAAAATACAGTTAAAAGCAAGAATTGAAACAACAGAATAACAACTATGCATGCTGTACATCAAAAATATGCAGATTACTTGGAGATACCAAGGTATAGATTCGAACTTACACGATGTCTTGCAATTTCAGGTGTACCTGGGAACGCTTGGATATATGTCGTTGGCGTTGTTGGAGGGCTAGTGGTACTGGTAGTCTTAGGCCTCGGATTTGTATTGGCCTGTGTCAAAGTTAAAAAGTGTCAAAAGCAAAGATATACCCACAGGGGTGAGAATGAAAGAAGAGACAACAATGAAAGTTCAGCTACGTTATTAGAGGACAACCGCGATGACAAAGGAGTGGAAAATGCATCGTCAACTGATTGCCAACAAAGTAAAGAGTCTGAACAATACCATTCGGCCTCAAATGATGAAAAAGGTATCAACCTGTTTACAAACGGTCATGCATCGTGCAACATGGATGGAAAGCAGGAGCCAATAGAACGAATCCCATGATTACTACATTAACTTCCATCAACAAGTATCTGTGATATTCAAACGTCATAATCAAACCATCCAACGCGTGTGTTCATGACGTTTAATGAAGTTGACTTGAGACATTTTATTCTACATCTTTTTATATGTACATGGTACGCAATTGTAGATATCGCATAATTGCACATAGATGCTTTAGAAACATTGAAAACACAACTAGAAATAACTGTCATCATATTTGCACATAATAGAGTTATATATACTTTAAAGCCTTATGAAGGCCCACGGTCCAATATTTCACTATATTGCCCGTAGAAATGACGTTATTAGTATTATTACCACCGTTAATGACCAGGACTGAAACAGCAAGAAAATCTTACGCACTGAACGATATCTAATTTCCCTGGGAAAATTGCCGTTCGTTAAATGCATTCTCGACCGGTTGTTTAATGCATTCTTGACCACCACTATGAAGTCACATATTGGTCAGGTCGATATAGTAAAATTAATGCCTTCTAAACTAGCAGTAAAACCCCTAGAACTGGCCCGGCAAGGTGGTAATAATAGTACAATAACGTCATTTCGAAGGGCAATACAGTGAAATATTGGACCGAAGGCCCAAGGTCCAATATTTCACTATATTGCCCGCAGAAATGACGTTATTAGTATTATTACCACCGTTAACGACCAGGACTGAAACAGCAAGAAAATCTTACGCATTGAACGATAACTAGTTTCCCGGGGAAATTTTGCCGGTCGTTAAATGCATTCTCGACCGGTCTGAAATGCATTCTTGACCACCACTATGACGTCACATATTGCTCAGGTCGATATAGTAAAATGGACGCTTTCTAAACTAGCAGTAAAACCCCTAGAATTGGCCTGGCAAGGTGGTAATAATTTTAATTCATGAAGGTTATTACAAGAGTCTACAAATATATTCAAGAATAATAACCAAGCAAAATTCCGATGTTACGCTTATTTTCCTGATGAACATTATTAGCACAGATGTGCACAATATAAAACAGT